GAGTCATCTTCATGACTGGAGTTTTTGACATTTTAACCAACTCTGCTTTGTCAGTGCTTCTTAAAACGTGGCTCCATATCACAAGGGAGTTTACTGGAAGTGCAGATTCTCAGGCTGTGCCCGAGCCCTGTACTAAAACAGAAGCCTATGGGCCTATGGGAGGTAGAACTCAGCCAAGGGTAGTTAACAAGACTTTCAAGTGTTTCTGTTGCACACCAAAGTTTGTGAACCACTGACCTGTGAAGTCAACACAAATACCTCCCTCCATCTGTGTTTTAACAAGCCCTGCAGGTGATTCCGGTGCATGTGAGATTTGAGAGTCACTGGGCTGTGGAAATCCACACTGATAAATGTGAACTATAAATTGGATTTAAATCCCAGACCTCCTCACAATCTGAAATCTTCTGACTTTCTAATGCTGATTTACTAAGTGCTCTTTATACAAGAAAGACTTTTACCACGAAGGGCGGGTGCTTTACTGCAAGAACACGGTGGAAATGAGAGCCCCGCCAGCATTGTCCTGTCAGAATGAGCCTCCTCTCTACTGAACTCTCATTTTCCATTTGGAGGGGAAGGGAGGTTATGTACTTTCCAAGCATGCCACCCTTTGCTAGTAAATGCTTCTTTTCTGTAATTGGCTGACCATGCACAAATGCCCTTCTGTGCCCACTAAGAAATAGCAGGTCCCGACATGGGAATGGAACCCTATTTCCTTGTTCTTTTTTTTAAAACCTGTAAAGGCCCTTCCTCCCTTCCAAGAATAGAGGCGTTTTGGCAAAGAAGAAGGTCTTTTTTTCCAGGGTGACAAAAAGCACTTTCTCTCCACTCTTTTGTTGTGCTGTTAGATTTGAAACCCTTTGCCCTGAGAACAATACACCGCGAGTTGCTTTATTTTATTATTTTTTTTATTTTATTTTTGCTTTCTGCTGTGCTTTCTTCCACCCTTAGGATAATAGGCCACCATTTTAACACCAGAGAACAGGTATCTGTGGTGAATCCAAGTTGAATGTCAGTCAGGCCTGTAAGTACCACTACTCTCTTAGCTGGAGTGCACAGAGAGGCTCGATTTGAAGAAAGCTGTGTGACACTCCAGTGAAGGCCTAGTGAGGAGGAAATGGACTCCCACATCAATAGAATGCTAACAACCCTGGTGGGCATACAACCCTGAAGGTAATTTGGGAAATTTAGGAAGTCAACGAAGATGAATAAATAAGACAGCAACCAACCAATTTCCTTTTTCGTTTTTATGAAGACTGTGATTGTAGGCCATAAGCTTCCTCTCATCACTAATGAATGAAACAGAGGAAGAGAGAGTTTTAAATATGTGGTAGTGCTAAATAACCCATAACTAAATGTATAACATGAGGAATATGTATCTTCCTGAGGAGAGCCTGCAAATAGAGCTTACCCAGGAAGACTGGGAAAAAACAAAAAACCTCTTCTTTTGTGCTAAACCAGAGTTATACTATATACCTTTAAACATTGCTCCTAGTGTATAAAACCAGCCATAAAATGAAGGTTTGATGGTCAGCTTGATAATTAGATCATTCTAGACAGCCAATCCCGGCAAATCATGTCCCAAAGTTAATGGTTCCCTTTGTAATTAGCTCTGTCTACAACCATCAAATTAACAAATAACTGCCAAGTCACCAGCACACAGTGGGGAGAAGCTACAGAACAGCCCCTGGGGGCTTCTTCTCCTGCGTCTGCCCCACCCCCATCTGGTACTAGTTTCACCTCTGTCCTTCTCCATCAGGGTAGTAGAAGAGAGCCCTCTGGACCTATGGTTTGAGAGTTTCCAAGCCTGGCTTTCTTTATAGCAGACATTCATCTTTAATGATCTAAAACATTCTGCCCAAAACGCTCATCTTTAAAAGAGCCCAGAGAACACAAAGAGGTTGAGACTTCAGCTTCACTGTTTCCACAGTGTCATTTCATGGGCTTTCTTGTTTTACTCCACAACCCTGTAACTGGGGGTTATTTACACATCTGAAACCAGTGTTTTCAAGTGACATCCCAAGTCAAATTCTAAAAGTCAAAGATTTCCAGGAACTCAGGTCTCCTTCACCCCAGTGCTCTGAAACTAAACTGGACTACATTTATCAAGTACCTGACCAGGAGTGATGGGTCGTGCTTTCAAACTCAGTACTCAGTAGTCTGAGGCTAGAGAACTGCTGCAAAGAGGCCACCTTGCTCTATATATTGAGTTCTAGGTCAACCTGAGTTCCAGGATAAGACCCTAATCACACATGGTCTCCTGGATTTGGGAAGGGCTAAAGTACATTATCTGGAGAAGGCTAAGAAGAGAAGGCTTGATCCATGCTAGGTAAAGGCTTTCCAGTGTGCATACCCTCAAGTCATTCATATGCCTCAGCAACCCCTCAGTTATCTTGGTAAGTAAGCTCAGTAAATTCATTGGTTCCCCAGTAAAACTTTATTCAAACGTTGGTTTGACATTAGAACCTTAAAAGGGAATTCATTGCTTAGCATCCCCAGGAAAAGAATTCTCACAACAGATGGAAAATTTATTTGTTAATGCTATTATGTCTCACAATTATTAAAAGAAGAAAATGAGAATGTAAAAGATGTTAAAAGAACATGGGAATGGAGATATTTTCCAAAATAGAAAAAATGAGAAAGCCTAAACAAGCGATGAAGGTCTGTGTAGCTTTGTTATTATTTATAAAGGATAAGACAAAAATAATATACACATGATCTTAAAGTTTCCAAGGTCATAGTTTAGTCAACTAAGGAACAAAATATATATCTAATCAAGGTTTATCTGAGAACATTTGGTTTTTTTACCCAAGCATTATCTACATAGCACATGATAATTAAATGTACCAGACTGGTAGAACTAACCTTATTGGATGTTTAACAGCCATACTTTGAGGCCTATATAATGTGGTCAGAGGGACTTAAAGAACAATATTTGCCCCTTGCCCTCCAAGGTCAACAAAGTTCCATGGGACTATGGAGCATCTCTCAAAATGTCCTGTAACTGTGGTGAGTCACTTGTCCTCTCGTTCAGGGAGGCCATGGAGACCCCAGCAGATGGACTTGAACCAGTGTCCAGTCTACAAAGAGAAGGGTCAATTCAGAGGAAACGTCTCATCCATGCTTCCAAGTGAAGCCAGCCATGGTCGAACAGGATCTTTGACTTATTTTCACATAAATGGAACTGGTAAAAGAAAGGAGCCAGAGGCTCCTCCCAAGCCCATATGACCCCTGAGGAACAGATCCTCAAACAACCCCAAGAGTAAAAATAAATTGATTTATTTGGGCCAACTGTATGGTCTTAAACACACAAAAGGAAAATATAACCAAAGAGGAAAGTAATCAGTATATTTCTTTAAGAGTTCAAGGGATTACACTTCCCAGACATTAGGCTTGCTGCCCAGATGTAAGACTTCAAATCTTGGTGTGCAATACTGTAGTGCCCACCTGTAGCTAAGGGAGACCACCCACTATTGTTCTAAATTTGTTTTCTCCCCCTATCTAGAAGCTTTGAGAGGGAACTGACACTGATTCTAACCACTCCAACAGCTATCAAAGTGCCTGAAAGCAAAGTGCCTGAAAGTCATTGAAAGGGATTTTTTTCCAGTTCCCTGTCTAGAACTTGTAATGCTAACTACTCTTGCCTTTACTTCTTCACATCTCCTATTCACCAGTCAAGGACTTTCTTGTCTCCTTACAGATAAGAATTACGCAATTTGGGAGTCTTTCAGATAGACCCACAGAAGAGGTACCCCAATTGCCTCACTCTGCGTCCCTGTTCAGCATGGAAGAAGCCAGAGCAGTCTGTATCCTGATTCCCTATCCGCAAGTTGGGTAACCTCTTCAGAGGATGGTGTGATAAGAATAGGAGGTAGGAATTGGCTAGGAAGTTAGTGTAAAAAGACCCCAAAGAAAAGTAACCAGCTTCTTGGCTAAAAGTCAAAATGTCCTTGGGCCTCTTAGCAACATACTCCACTCCAAAGGCCCAAAATGTTGAAAGTATTTGGGAGCTGTTATGTAATTCTTAAAAGATTTTAGGGTTACCTCTTCAGAGGGGGTAATGTTAGAGTAGCAAAAATCCCCATTAAAAAAAAAAAAAGAAGAAGAATGCCTATATGAAGTTATCAGGAAAAAAGTGATGGGGAGATATAGGAGGAGTTGGAGGGGTGGGAATGGGCATGGATTTGATCACATCTTTTGAGTCATTATATTCCAGAACTGCAAAGATGCCCAAATACCTCTTTCAGAATCCCTGGAGACACAGAGTCCAGGAAGTGAAGGAGGAAGCTGGGCATCTATGTTTCATGGGATTCTGTCTTGGTAGGTTTCCTCAGATCCCAAGGAAGATCCCAGAGCTGCAAGTTCATGTCCTCACAAGTCAGCTTTGCCACAGGTGATCCAGCCCAGGGAACTATCCTCCAAACTCTGTCCTCATTGACTCTTAACTAAGAGGTCATTTACTGGTTTCAATTGAGTAAAATCTTTCCAATGACTAGATACTGTCATTTTCCAACCAGAGCACTCCCACTCCCATTTGAAAGGTTTTTTTCCATTTTGTTTTTATGTGGTTGGTTGGTCATTTTTTTTTTTTTTGATATTTGTTTTTTGGTGTTTGGGTATTTTTATATTTATTTATTTGTTTGTTTGTTTGTTTGTTTGTTTGTTTTGGTGAAAGCAGCCTTATTGAGAAAAAGGTAGATATTTGAGAATGCTATCACACTATTGTACATGAAATAAAGAGTGGGATGGCTTAAATGTATAAAGCAAATAAAAAAGAAATGGTTCTAAAATAGTTTAGTTGAGGGTTCAGACTTCTGGATGAGATGGAGAAGTAGGAAACCCTGTGTGAGCTGGTGAGGGAGAGAGCCAGAATGAAAATAAGTAGACTTTATCTCAAAGAGAAAAGTAAAAAAGAAAAAAAAAAAAACCCAAAACTTCAGAAACCAACAAAAGTAGTTGACAGTTCAAGGAAAGGAACTTCTTTTTTTGTTTTTAATTAGGCGAGCATGAACACAGCACTCCCCACACACATGCACTGCCACAAATTATGCAGTTGCATTTCCTCCAATTGGGGAAATTGAAGGGTCTGCACATCCAGAGTACAATGGATAAGCCTCACCCTGGCCTCACCACTTTCCTGATCCCCTACCAAGTAAGTATTCTTCTTTTAAAGAGTTATTTTTATGATTTTTAATCATGCCTATGTGTGTCTGTGTCTGTGTGTGGATATATGCATGTGAGTGCAGGTGCCTGTGGAAACCAGAAGAGGATGTCGGATCCCCTCGAGCTGGAGTACACACAGTTGTGAGCCACCCAGCATGGGTGCTGGGAACCAAACTCATGTCCTCTGCAAGAGTAGTACACATTCTTCATTGCTGAGCCATCTCTCCAGTTCCTGAAGCTCCTTAATGTGTATAGAACAAGACCCAAGGGAAATACATCTATCTTGAACAAAGGAAATGAGGATACTTAGGGGCAATTTGAAGACCAGTCACTCTGTTTTAAAGCATCCCTTAAAGACAGAGTGATAAGAAAGGCCATTAGCAGATACCACCGAGTCTATAGTTAAACACTGAGAACTGAAACTAATTATTCATTCAGGATTCCTATGTGTCATTTAGAATATATTTAAAGAAACAAACAAAAAATCCTCTCATAATGTAAGTCAGGAATAGACTTGGTTCAGAAAGGATTCTGCTCTCTCTCTCTCTCTCTCTCTCTCTCTCTCTCTCTCTCTCTCTCTGTGTGTATGTGTGTGTGTGTGTGTGTGTATGGCACTGGTAGCGGATGGTACTAGTAGTGGTAACTGGAGTCAAACTCATGGTCTTGAGCATGCTAAGCAAACACTACCATGAAAAGAAACAGCTCAAGACGAGTATTAAACAGGACTTGGGAGGAAGCTTGTAAGGCTTCTTAAGACCTAACCTAAGAAATCCCAAAATGACATTTCTGTAATAATCAACAAAGTCACTAAGGTAATCTCAGACTTAAGAGACAGGGGAACAGACCTCACTTCTTGAGGAAAAGAGACGTGTATAAGAGAGCAGGAACTTTGGAGACCATCAACCATACGTGAAGTGCCCAAGCTCCACAGAGGCAGTCCTTTCTCTAGCTCCCGCTGACTATGTGCTTTCACAACCAAACTCCTGGTCTTTGAAACTCTGCCTGGCCCAGTTTATATTCCCACCCCACCTACCACTGTTTGTGGCCCCTTGTTACTGCCTAAATCAACCCCGTATTTTTTCCATCTTTGCTCATTACTCTTTTGGTTTCCTTTGTCACAAGGCAAAGGGCAGGTCAGTGGTAGAGTGAAAAAAAATTGTAATACAGAATCAAGTAAGAATTTGATAGTGAAAAGAAGTTCATTGAAAAGGTTGATGATCTCTAGAATATCGCTTATGTTTCAAATAGAAATATTTGACTGACTTCTCAGATGGTATTAGTTCGTGATGCTTGGCCTTCGTGTTCCACTGCTCCACAGTATGTGGTTCAGCATCTTGCTTTGGTTTAGCATCTTTGTACCCAGTGTTTTCTTAAGACTATTTGCAAGAGAGGGATGGAACCAGGTGACAGGAACCTCTGAGAGCTGCACCAAGCACATCCTGCAACCTGACAAAATATCTGGCCACTGTACCTGTTCAGTATCTGTGAGCATCTTTGGAAAGAGGTTTCGATATCAATCAAACTGAACCCACTTCCTTCTCAAAGACATTTGACAATTTTTTTCCTTTGAAAACTGCCATCAGAGAAGGAAAAATCTGCTCTTTCCTTAACTCTGTTTTCACAGGAAAACTCTGTTTTCCTAGCCTTGGCTCAGCACTGGCTTCCTTGAGTCAAAAAACAAAAACAAAAATTAACAAAAAGGGGTGCATCCTCCATATGGAGTTCCTTTAAGCTTTTGGCTTTCTGTCAGGAGTACATGCCTCATGGATAACAGGTACTTTCATGTGTCAAGGCCTGGAGAAACAGATGTCCACAGTCTCCTCAGATTCCTCCTTTAGTCTCCCCTGACTGAAGACACACCCTCCTTCTTTGATGATTAATCTTCATTTTCAATTTGGATTTAGAAACACTCTTAGGGGACTGGATCCAGGAGACCATTTCTGGGTACATCTGACATAGTATTTCTAGAGGGGTTTAACTGAGGACAGAACACCACTCTGAATAGAGGTGGCGCCATCCCATTGGCCAGGCTGAATGAAAAGGAGAAGGCAAGGGGAGCCCCAGCATTCACCCCTCTCTACTTCCTGGCTCTGGACACATTGTAAAACCAGCCACTTTATGCTGCTGACACCATGCTGTCCCTGCAGTAATGGTCTGTACTCTCAGACCATGAGCCAGAATAAACCTTTCTTCTTTAATTTGCTTTTATCAGCTATTTTGTCACAGCAACCAGAACATGATTAATATACCAAAAGTCTTCCTGGTGGGCCTAAGACTAGTTGCCAAACCCTCCGTGAGCCTCACTAAGAAAAGTGCCATGATCCCCCATGTGCCTGGCAAAGAAATCACATGCCCTTACCATTGCTGGGCAAAGTGGAAGACAACCATGTGTGGAGGAGTCTATGAATAAAAAAGGCAGACAGCACCCCCAGAAAGGAAATAAGGTTGAGAAATAAGGATGAAAGGGAGTCCTTGAACATGTCCATGTGGTTAAATCTTAAGGATGCCATTCCTGCTGGGAATACTGTGAAAGCTACTGCCTCCTCTTACGCAAATCCTCTCCCATGGAAGATGCCATCTGCAGACTCTAAACACTAAAACGAATCCTGTAAGAACTCCCAGTTAGAAAGCAGAAGAGGGACAGGAGTATATAAGGACAGCAGGCTATATGTCTGGTTCCAACCTGTCTTCAGCAATCTGAGTCCTTCCCACAAATGTACAAGAGGTCACAAAGAGCTACAGAACTTTCTGGGGTAGAAGCATTTGGATGTAAAAATGCATCAAAGACCATTTTCAGGGCAGGTTTACAAGGTCACATTCCCCTCATCCATTAGCCTCCTTGCCTACACACTGTTTACCAAGGAGGGACGCTCAGGGAGAAGGGTGTTATCATGACCCAAGCCGCTGCAGCACAGTGCACGGCTATTACATGGTTGTCTAGACTTCTGCCCTTGAGTTACAATGAAACAGATGTCTAGGGTTCACAGAATCACCCATCAACAAGGTCTCCTCAGACAACTCTATTTGCAAAAACACCTCATATGCCAAAAGGGTGTGTTGATTGCCAAGTGACTTCCAAGCTACTATATAACAAGTCACTATAGCTCTTGACAACTAATTGCCTAGCTTTTAAACCCAGTTTAACCCAGGCCTCCTTACAAATGTGATTGTTGGGCAAAAGTTTGAAAGAAGCGAAGTGCTGGGGATATTTGAGGAAAGAGCTTTCCAGAAAAAGGGAACAGCCAGGCTAAGGGAACACAGAGGATTTCCCTTTCTGACGTTGTGGAACTTCACCCCCATGAGCAAGCTCTCAGCCCAGCAACATCAAAAGCCAGAATGAAGCTGGGGCAGGGCAGCCAGAACAGGACAATATTTGTGAGAAGTCCTAACTTTAAAGAAAAGCTCAAAGTAACGGAGAGAATTAGCTATGGGGATAGCTGAGCAAAATGATTTTTCAGGTAGGCTGTTATACCCATTGGCATTTTTTTAAAGATTTTTAAAATTTATGAGCATGTGTATGTACCTATGTGAATTTATGTATACCACATATGTGCAAATGCTCTTGGAGGCCAGAGGGTATGGGATCCTCTGGAACTGGAGTTATAGGCAGTTGTGAGCTGTGGATGTGGGTGCTGGGAACGAAACCCAGATCCTCTACAAGAGTAGTAAGTACTTGTGACCACTGAGCCACCATTTCAGTCCACACTCTGCATTTTATGTGCATTCTAGGAATCAGAGCTCTGGTCCTCAAGCTTGATTGGCAAGCGCTTTAATCACTGGGCCATCTCCCCAGCCTTTCTCCTGCTTCTTAACAGCCCTCCCTCACCCAAAATAAATAAACACAAGAGATGATCTGGCACCATTACATACAGCTGAACACACAATTACAAGAATTATATCTCTCAGGTAATTGTATTTTCCCAATTTTGATAGACATCATTATTCTATCATTACAGAACACTTAAGCAGAACTCTGTGCCAAGTGTTATTCAAAGCACTTTCCGCATATAAATGCAAATAGTATTTCTATCCTGTGAAGCAGATACCATTTATAGAGGAAAAAAATAGGTAAGAGGAAGGTAAATACTTCACCCAAGGTCACAGACCACCCAAGATCAGAGTCACAGCGCTGTACCACTGCATCACGCTGACTGCCAAGGACAGGTGAAACTTGAAGCCTTTTCTTAGAAGAATGACTGACCCACAAGATAAGACAGGGAATTTGTTTGGTGTGAGGACCAGCAGCAAGTGCTCAACTACACCTGCAGAGGGGCTTCCCAAGGAAGTAAATCTAGGGGGCTGGAGACCAGAGACCTGCAGCTTATTGCATGAGACTTGGGGCCCCTGGGAGGAAGAGTATGGGAAGGCTTTAATTAGAGGGTACAAATGTCAGAAGACATTACAAATCCTGGCTAGAGCAAGAAAATAGTTTCTAGGATACTGGGCTGACTATTAAAAATATCTTAAGCTGTATACAGTAGCATACACCTGTTATCCCAGCACTCAGGAGCCCGATCTCAAGTTTAAGCCTCCCTGGGCTACACAGTCTCAATATAAATATGTGTATGAGTATGTGTACACATGTGTTCTATAAAATACATATATGTATATACATATATATATTTATAGGATGTGCTTTCATTTTCAAACTCTCTCCAATAGTGCACAAAATCATTTTTATCGTTGGCCATGGAGCAGATAAGTTGAGTTGCAAGTTTTATATAACTATGGCAGCAAGTCTTATAAATGCAAGGCAGGGCTTTACTGTTTATTATGTGTGCTATATAGGTTTTTTTTGCTCAAATTTTTCAAAAGTTAGAGATAAGATTTGGCAGTCAAGAAGCAAAGATTGAGCCTCATGTGGTGGTGTATACGTTTAATCCCAGTATTTGGGAGGCAGAGACAGAGGCAGACAGATCTCTGTGAGATTGAGCCCAACCTGGTATACATAGCAAGTCCCAGGCCAGCTGGGCCTACAGGGAGACACTGTCTCAGAA